TACTTAATGCATACTGCATACTGCATAGTATATGATCTAAGGTCGGGTCTCTATACACAGCGTTTATTTTTTATTTTCCTATATCCATTAATTCCATTATCCATAGACATAATATGAAACAAAATATTAACAAACATATAAATTAATTAATTTTTATATAATCTGTGCCTTATCTTGAAGTGAGATAAAATATAAAATATTAAATTCACTCCTTGTGTAATCTATACAAAATAATATTCACTCRGCCAAAGGATTGATGTTATTAAATAAAATAAATGTAATGATATCCACAGTGACACAGTGTTGTTTAAGAAATAACAATAAGATTGAAATTTTTAAGGAAACCTTTAAAATTACCTTAATGTAAATAATTCTCTTCCTAATTCCAAGTTGGCAAGTTCTATCCATACGGATCTATAATAGTATTACTATAGTATTATTTTTCATAGTTCATTTTATATAATAATAATAGATATTGGAATAAAATAATTCATATTCTTCTGATGCTTTTTGTTTATTGTTTAACATAAACTTAATTTTTATTAATTTATTATTTAATTGCCTATAGTTGTGTTATTATCAAAAAACATAGACCTGAGATTTTGGTTGATAAAATTTTCAATTAAGTTTGATATGCAAATAATATATGATTTATTAATTTTAATTGAAATGGTTCATTAAATTATATTTATTTTATTTTACTTGTTTATTAATATTACAATCTATACATCTTGCTTAATGGTTAATATCTCAATAATCCTTTGAAGTTTATAAAATGAGTAATATTTATATTCAAGAACCACCTACTTCTGGAAAAGTAAGTGTTGTGTTTTTTTTATGATTTTTTAATTTCTAAATATTATACTATTGTCTAAGGTGTAGATTAATTGCATCTTATTTTAAAGTTATTAAATATTTTGTATTGCTCCTATAAGTCTAATGTCCGGGTAAATTTCTTAAATTTGTTTTCTTATAATATCTCCAARTGTCTAACTCTTTTAAACTGATTAAAACTAAATTATAAATAATAGCTGAATGTCCCGGCATTGTCCGTGTTCAGTTTTTTTTTTTTTTGTGGCAAAACCTATATAGTTAATACATTAAATGTTGGTTTGAGCCTTGAGTTTATCTCAGTTTTAGTATTTATCAGTAAAGTTCTCAAACAAATCAGTGTTAGTATACTAGTACCTTCTTCTTTCTTCTTTGGAGTTTGTCGGCCATTAAGACCATCTCGTCACACATCCAATTCTCCAGCCTTCTCTATCCAGAGCTCGTGCTTTCCAATCTGGTCCTCCATTCAGTGCTAACACGTCTTTTTTTATCGTGTCTTCCCACCTTAATCAACGTCTCCCTAGTGGTCTTTTACCAACTGGGTTCGTCCATAGTCATCCTTATTATATTATTCTGACCTCGTCTAGCGTGACCGGCCCACTGAAGTCTTCGGTTTCTGATTGTATTTACTATGTTTTCTTTTTTAAATAGGCTTTCCAATTCATTATTTTTTCTTATTATCCACTCACCCGTTTCTCTGTCTTTCGTTGGTCCTAGAATTTTCCTTACAAAAACCATAAGTTTTCTTTCCTCATTCTTTCTTAATGTCCAGGTCTCCGCTCCATAAGTGACAACTGGGCATATTAAGGAGGCTGTATATATCTGTTTCTTAATTTCTAACAACAAGGATCGTGATCCTAATATTTTTGAGGGTCCATAAAAGCACTTATTTCCTGATACAATTCTTGCCCCAACTTCTTTGTCAGTTTCATTTTTTTCTGTTACTACTGAACCTAGGTACTTGATTTGTTTGGCTCTACTGAACTCATACCTACCAACTTTCGTGTGCGGGAATATGGCACTGCTATCTCTTTTTCCCATGACCATGTATTCAGTTTTTATACTAGTACCTACTACCTAGTTTTGTAAAAATAATTTGTCATATATGTGCAACCACAAGTCGCAGATCGAAGTTTTGGTACTCGGTTTATTTTTTAATGTGGTTTAAACTACTTACTCTCTAACTTTTCTGATAACTCAAAAAAAAAATCTAAAGATTCTGTCAAATTCATTTGAGTTGTTTTTGAGTAGGTATATAAGCTACACGCATGCATTTGGTTTTAAGATGTAGTTCTTTATTTGAAACCACTACCACTATAATTTGATGCATGGTTGTATCTGATCTAGGTACTCGAGTGTCCTATGTGAACCATTTATAAACTAAAAAAGTTTCAATTCCACTGTGAATCTTAAAATCCCTGTTTGGACTACCTCTTTAAAATGGGAGTATTGGAATTTATTATTGAACATATAAATTATTAGATAGACCACTATTCCAAATTCCAAATTCATATGTTTTGTTGTTTTTGAGATGTAGTAATGAATGAGTGAGTGGTATTTGGCTTATGATAGATTATAGCATAATTGCATTATGAAATATATAACATAATAATAGATACAATAATGTTTGAAATAATTAAACATAACCAGATTTTAAGAACATATTATATTTGTATTGTTTTATGAATGTTAAATAAGTATTTTATTTACATAAATAAAGTATAAATTATAAGTATTAAAATATACAAAATACATATTATTAATATAAATATAAAATTTTAGTAATTCTATATTTCTAACTAAATATTTCTTAAAGGTCGTACTCAAAACTTCATTTGGTGATATTGAAATTGAATTATGGTCAAGAGAAGCTCCAAAAGCTTGTAAAAATTTTGTTCAGCTGTGTACTGATGGATATTATGATGGAGTCTTGTTTCATCGTATTGTCAAAGGTTTCATAGCTCAGGGTGGTGATCCAACTGGAACTGGAGCAGGTGGTGAATCAATTTATGGTCATCCATTTAAAGTAATAATTTTATTTAATGAATATTCTTTATCCAATAAAAATTAAGAAAATTTTTTAGGATGAAATACATTCACGTCTTCGGTTTAATCGACGTGGCTTGGTGGCTATGGCAAATGCTGGAAAAGATGATAATGGATCTCAATTTTTTTTCACATTAGGATCTACTCCAGAACTTCAATCTAAACATACAATATTTGGAAAAGTTGCTGGTGATACTATCTTTAATTTAACCAAATTAAATGAAACTCTTGTAGATACGGTATTAAAAAAGTATTTATTACATTGTTGTAAAATATTATATATGTCTTATTAATTTTATTTATAGGAAGATAAACCAGTTTATGATCAAAAAATACTAAAAACTATAGTATTAAATAATCCTTTCCCTGATATTGTACCTAGAGTTGAAAAAAAGAGTGAAAAAACTGAAAAACTTTCAAAAAAAAAAGAAGCCGTTGGTGTCAAGTAAGTTAATATGGTCTTTGAAAAATCTTCTAGATATTATATCATAATATTATATGGCATATATATATTTAYTTCCTAGTTAAATTTACATATATATTTTTAGAAATTTTAAACTTTTATCATTTGGTGAAGAAGCTGAAGTGGACGAAGAAGAACTTATTGATGTTGTTAAAGAATTTAGTGGTAGACCAAAATCAACTCATGATGTTCTTAAAGATCCTCAGTTAAGTTCAGAACCTGCAGTTATAGATAATGAACTTACTGATGATATAACTATACCTTCTAGTGATCAGACATCAAAGTAAAAATATTTTATTTTTATTTTTACATCTATTCGTTTATACGTTAAACATACTTTTTTTTATTTAGAATAAGTATAGATGATGTTCGGTCAAAATTGTCATCTAATAGTAAAAATAAAAAAAGTGCAMTTAAACCAATTGAAAAACCAAATGAAGAAGATTCTGACGATTATGAACTTGGCAAAGATCTAAAAGATGAAAAAAAAAAAAAAGCGTAATTATAAATTTAGTTTTCTACGCAGTGATAGCATTGATATAAATTGATCTTATTCTAAAATCATACAAACTGTTTTATCTATAAAGTGTATTTAAAAGTATATCATTATGACTAATGATGTTTAATATGAAAATACTAAATATTGTAATATGTATTTAAAATTTGCTTATTTTATTACTAGGGAGGAAATCCGAAAAGAAATAAATCAAATAAAATCACAGCTTTCAAAAAAAAAAAAAGATAAAAAAAAAGACCTAGATATAGAAGATACACCAAGCATACCACTTTTGCCTATTGATCCACTTAAACAACAATATTTAGAAAATATAAAAATGTATTCTTCCAAAAAAAGTGAAATTCCCTTAAAAGGTATTATTTATTGCCTAAAACTTTCATATATATTGTTAAAAATTCCTTATTTAATGATAATTGATTTAGGTTCAAATAGAGAAGAATTTGCTCTTAGTCTTTTAGAGCAGTTTAAAAATAAACTTCATAATGCAGTACGATCAAGTCAAGAAAAACCTGAAAAATCATCTGAAACACTTGAAGAAGATGATGATGATTGGTATATTTTCAAATTGAATAAATATTAAATAATAAAAAATTATTTATTCCTATTTTTTTTTCCAATTTAACTATTAGCTTGCTTGTATATTGTATAATGTGATTAATTTGATAATTCATACTTTATTATTTATAACACAGGAAAAGTCATCCCCTTCAATTTCAGAAGGAAGATGTTGTACTAGCAAAAGATGCAAATAAAAAAGATGATGATTGGTTTGAAATATATGATCCTAGAAGTGCTATCAACAAAAGGAAGCGTGAATCGAATAAATTCAATTCAAAAGCTGACAAAGATAAAAAAACAAAAGTTTAAAACATAAAAATATAAAATGTTATTCATTGTCTTTTATTATTCTAAAGATTAAAAAAATTGACTACCTATTGAAAGTTGAAATATCATTATATAAAGTTAAAATAAACTATGCCAGAGGGCAGAGGTATTCAAACTGTTTCATCTCATGGCTCCTTTGTGTGATCACAATATTAATTGCTCCTAAATTATTATGAAAAAGTTTAAACAATACAGATACAGTATTTAGTTCTAGAAATAAAAATTGAAATTGTAGCATGATGATTATCATTTCCATAATGATTATAAATAATATTTAAATTAATTTTACAAGACCTACTATTAATGTTGGTTTCCGGTGCTTTAACATGACTATCTTCGCCAACTCTCGAGGCCTCTGAGAGCCACGATACACAGTTTGAATATCTTTAATTTATACATTACGATTTAAAATATCAATGGATCATTTTTATGAGGTTTACTAGACTATTGAGTACTTAACTCATCAAAAGTAAATGTTTCAAAAAAAAAAAAAATTATCAGGTAGCTAAACTAAAAAATTGTTCCTTATGATAATGTTATTATTTTGGGTGCTCGTATAATAATAGTTTAAGACCTAACCTATGTAATACCCGCATTCCGCTTGTGTTGTCTCCGTCTTACAAGTGCATAACATGACAAATTTACGCTCAGCAGAACGCGTGTGGATCTGTTAGTTTAAAATTCAGAGTGAATTGACCTCTAATTAAATTTCGAGTAGTGGGACACAAAAGTCCGAATAATAAGTTTTTTGAAACTTTTCAACGGTGTAGTTCTAAATGCCATTAATTCAACATTATCCTTGTAATGCGGCGTTTTTTAATTTTAATTTTCTGGAATTTATAACGTCAATAACACTGAAATGAATTACCCAGGTCCTCTATCCGAAATCTTAATTCCAAAATTAAATCCCTCAATATGTTTTTCAGTTTCCCTAAAAATTAAAAACTAAACCGATGGAGTTGTTTGCCGGATTTGCCCACATCCACATTGATGTAAATCGTATATGGCAGCGCTATCTAACTAGGAAACTAAGCAGCTGTGATGGCCATATTCCACGTACATGATAGATAATATTATAGACTGTATAGAGTAATCAAATATATTAAAATATGTGTAGTGTTAAACTGTGCATTTATATTTTATATTGTAAATAAAAAGTAATAAAATAAGTGTAACACGCCTGTACATATAATATATTTTTTGTTTATTGACATTTTTTTTTTTTTGGTTGATCGCGACAACCTAGAAAAATTCGGAGGTCGATCAAAGTTGGCCAGCACTGGTATAGACCATGGCTTATATTTATCTTATACTATAGAGTTCAAAATTATTCGGCGGCAGTAGATAGCGCTGCTGTGATCGAATTAATTTAAATCCATACGGGCCAATGCGGATAGCAGTATTCGCCATTCGGTAAGATTAAACCATAGAACATGACGAACATGTTCTAAGATTAAACCTCACTAAGGACCCGTTTTACAATCATAGTTAAAAACCTCGGTTATGCTTGAACCACTGATTTAACCGGCTGAATTCCGTGGTTTAACCGGAGTTCAGCCTTCAGCTATWRTAATACGGGCCCTATACCCAAATAAACAGCAAGCTTATGACTTGGAAGTTTGCTTGCGGCTTGTGACTATCAAAAATGATTGTGTGCMCCCCCTCCAAGTGAAATAATTCATTTTAAAATGTATCGCGCCTACTTATTGATTATTATGGTGAGTTGTGACTTTGTGAGTAACCAAAAGTCAAGAATTAAGTTTTAAAAGTTAAGGTTTCAATTATTGTATAGTGCTGATTTTTTGTTTATAACAGTGTGCCGAATGGATCGCGTTCGACTCCTTTGTGTAAGTAAAAATTGTGTTGGTCTGACGAATGTTAATACGACTTACGAGCGCTTGCAAACGGTAAAATACGAATGAGAACGCTCGATATTTTTATTTTATTTTCAACGTTGCCAAATTTAATCGAATAATAATTTGAGCACGATAATCGACTAACTAACGATTATGAACGTTATACCTTTTTGACTGAACGATTAATACAGTTGATTTTTAATATTTATCGGACGTTTATCGAATTAACTGTATGATGTTATTTGTAACTTTTATACCAGATATACGAGAGAATGACTTAATAGGCGCTTTAGTCGTCGCACAAACGTTAACGAAGTATTCGTATTATAGTCGGTTAAAAATAGCAACAATGGAACAGGGTAACAAAAGGAAAAATTAATTAATATTCATAATGAATGATAATGAATGTATGTAGTATGTAGCAAATAAAAGCTCTAATAATTTATTAAAATATCTGTAGAGTATGGTGGATTATGCTATCCCGCTTTAACTAATTCATAGGTAACTCATTTGTCATAAACTCATAACATATGTGTATTACATTTTTTATACATATTTTTATAATATATTCTACAAGTTTTACTTTTTTTTTACATATATAATACATAGTCTTATAATTCAAAATTTTTTTCATTTTTAAACATATTTATATTACATATGATTTTCTTCAAGAATATTTATTAAATGATAAATAATAAATGATATGGCAACGTTGCACGTAAATTCGTTCTTCAATCGTATCCTTTTTTGGGGTCAGCGGTAAGTTCTTTGTTATTTTTAAGTGTTCTCAATCGTTCGGCCAAAAAGGTATAWWGTTTTCAATCGTTCGATAGCCCTTGCAAGTTAGCAATTGCTATGATTTATGCATATAAACCTAACTAAAATAAGTGTATGGTCAATATATATATATTGAATATTGATCGTCAATTATACGAGAAGACTTGAACAAGCCGGGATAACATTTCAACTTTTAAAAAAGGTACGCTAACAATTTGCTATGAAATCCAAAAAAAATATTCAGCAAGCAATATTATTATTTTAATGTACTATTTTAGAGTTATTATAAAAAAATGTTTGCAATAGTWACCGATATACTTATGACCAATTAAAAAGTACAAATTGAAATTTATGATTTTCTTCAGTATAATATGTRGTTAAATACTTAAATTGATAGGGACCAAATCAAGTACCATCGCTAAAATCACTATAATTACTTACATAAGTTATATATAATTTTTTAATGATCATATTGTTAGTGATTTAGTGTCCGTTAGTAAACTTCATTTGATACATCATATTATTTAGGAACGAACTGTTACATAAATATACCTATTATATATTTAAATTATTATGAGTAGAGCGATGAGCCGATGTATGATATCGTTTTACATTGAATTATTTTGTATTTGTGCACTGTAYGAGTGTGTGGCAATATTTTAGAATAGGTAATAAATACAAATTTGCGAGCACAACGATTCTAATTCGTCTAAAACTTAATTAAATTATAGAATAATATGTAATAATTATTTGTTTTCGGGTCTCTATATAGGTATTTACAATGATAGAAAATATAAGGGACCTGGGTGGACTGAAAATAAAAATCAGCTCAAATTATATTCGGATAAATAAYTAAATCCCAAAAGAATATTTTTGGATTACCAGCATTGCTTGTCGTTTGGTATTTATCATTTTTCTCTTTATGACATAGTTAGAGAATACAGTATAATCATTAAAAACTCAATTACATACTTTCATTAAATCGGTAAAAATATAATATTCAAAAAACCCAAATTTTCACCGGTGCCTACAAGCACTAGGCAGTGATCACACACCGGCTACCCTAGCCAGTCCTCCCTTGTAAGGCTGTAAGAGTCAAAGACACAGGTTTTTGTATAAATATTATCTCGAATATTATTGTTTATAATGGAAAAAAAATCTAAGTTTTATTATTATAATATTGCAACCAAACAATCCAAATTCCAAATAAATATTTAATAAAACACAATATATATTGATCACCAAATATACACTCCGAAAATAATAAAAATATTAGATTAAAATTAAAATTTTGGGGACTTGAGATCTCGAAAAAATATTTATATAGGTACCATATATTTTACTGGTTACATTTAGATGATCCGGATCGAATTGTTCATGAAATCACCTTAGATTCTATGAAATACCTACCTATGATATTTTCATACAATCTGTGCTATTATCTAATATTATTCAGTTTACTTACTTAAAGTTATGGACATGTTAGGTGTCTTGAATTAAATTTTCAAGCTTTTCTACCTAACAAATAAATTTTTATCGATATTAATTTAAAAAAAAACTTATAATGATTAAAAATTGCATATGCCTATGAATAGTTCAACTTCAGTCGACATTTTTTGAAAATTGCACGGTGGATAGAATATACCTTTGTAAACATTCGGTGAAAATTTCATGTATCAATGGTCATTTGTTTTAAAGTTACATCAAAAACCAAAATCGATTTTGTCGAAAACTGATTGTGCATAAAATTTCCCATTTTTCCCTTAATTTTTAGTCGATTTATCCCGAATATTTAGAAAAATATTGAGAATTTTTTACTTTTGACCCCCCAAAGTAGCAACCATAGATTCACTTTCTGATCGAACGAGGTACTGAATTCGAAAATCGAAGCACTTTTCCTGCCCCAAAACGCGATGACAGACACAAAAAAAATTTTTTTTTAAAACAACACACTACACACATCATAGTAAAATCAATACATTCCTCGCTCCGCTCTGCAGAGTATAAAATACAAAATTTATAATAGGAAAGAATAAGTATTAGACAAGTTAGTTATCTATATTAAGGTATTCATTTCGGGCACATCGTACATATTACATACCCCAGGTATAATCAAACAAACAAATTTTTGATTTAGATCCTAACCTATTAATTATAACATAATGAACATGGCATAAAAAGTCGTATTATAATGTCTTTTTGTCTTTCCTTTGAAATTTGGTTTGTGCAACTTACGTGATTTGACTTCTTTGGTATACCAACAGACTAAAATTTTAGCGATAGATCACGTGATGTTAGTTATTATTAGTTCTAAACTTCGAATGCAATTATTAGCCTGATCGCCGCCGATACGAGATTATTACAACTTTACAAGTCAGCGCTAGTGGACAATGACGACCCGATCTCTGTTAAGAATACGTGGCTCATTAATTTTCCGATGTCCTATTAATATTATATTTTATTTATGTTACCAGATATTCAAGTAATTAATTATATATAAAAAATAAATATTAAATACCTACAAATAACATGGTAGATAAAAATATTATTTAGTCCAATAATTATAATTTATCTGCCCAACCGACGGGCTAAGTTCGAATGAAATTAAACGTTTAATAATTTTAAATGATTTGATCGATTGTGAAAGTGTTGAAATGCTTGTTTTTTAAGTTGTCGTAGTCTATATAGAGTTTATTATTTGTGATAAACCAAAAAGCAAAGATGATTAATTGACGAACGCAAGTTGATTGAAATGCCAGGAAATTGTTATCAACTTGGATAAAGGGTTTGCAATTTGCAATCTACATTTTCCTATCCATATCCGGAAAATTACAGTGTAACAATTTGCAATTTAGGCTTTCAGCAGTATTACCTACGTCGTAAAAAATAAAATTATGAATAATACTATACATATGTATACACTGTATACGTTTGGATATTGCTATTATTTGTAGTTTGAACCTTGTGTACATGTTTAAATTATAATTACATGTAGGTAATATTAGGTACACGGTACACTTAAAATATAATCCAATAAATACACAGATATGATTTTAATATCTACACTTATTGCATTGTTTAAACAAACAGGCAACAGCTATAAAATATAAGATTAACGAACATCTAGTTTATGATGAGCGCCAAGTCGGCTATTTACGACTTAGTTCAATTTAAGAATCGCTAACCATGGCTCGTTGGTCGGATAGTCAATTTACGGTTTGTTCCGAAGATTCTTTTATTAGTGAGTACCACCTACCTACCTAAATAAAACTTTTTGAAACTAATGAAAATATAGTTACGTTAAGTACTATATAGTATATAATACATGTATAGGTACCGCTATATAATTCCCCATAAACGTAACTATACACTTTAAGTATAAGCAGATGGTTAAGTATTTTACTCGATTGGTTTTAATTGAAAAATGTCAACATTTATTGCAAGTGGGCAGGTACCTATAATAAATAAAGAACCCAAATAAAATTAATATTTGTTATTATAAAAAGTTGTTAATTACCTATGTGTAATAATGCAATCTATATGAATACCTTAACTATGTAACGACAATTGTTTTGTAGTTTTTACCTTGCTGTATAATATATACATAACCCAAGTTGGCTGTTTGAAGAAGTTATAAATCATTTACAAATAGGTAAATATACATACATTGATTAGAAAAAATAAATAAAAGGAAAGTATAACTGCCTAATAAAATACATATGTATAATAACTATTGACTAATGTATCATGTTATAAAATGTAATATAACTTACAATTTTATTATATGTGTGTATGGTGCATATGAGATGATATTTGTAGATCTTGAAAAAAAATAATTGTTTTGTTTTCAATGAATATTGAATGAGTTATGAACTAAAAACAGTATATTATATTACTATTAATGTATAAAAGTACTAGGTAATAGGTATGCCGAGGCACTTAGAACGTTATATTGTTACTTAAATAAATGTTTTTATTGAATTATTTGATAAATAATATATATTTAATATAATACTGCGTAATAGGTAGTCGACACTTGACAGTTTCGTGTCGTTTACATTTATTGACATTTGGTAAAAATTTTCTAAAAGCTTCTCAAAACTTTATTCATAACTTATAATAACAATGCATTTTATAAAAACAATTTTATTTACCTATGGAATTTAGATTTTATTTATATTACATGACCAACTTGTAAGTAACCTACAGGATTTTAAGTTCAAAAATAAAAATACTTAATATTATATGTAATTATATAAGTTTCTCAACTCTTAGATAATATTATAATATGCTTACCTAACATACATCTACATTCATAAAAACTATTTTTGAAGTGCCAAAAGAAAATCTATAAAAATTAAAAATTTCCTTGCTAATTTTTAAGTTTTTTCAACCATAGTCATAACAACAGAAATAATAATATCTGAAAATTAAATCTTGTAAAATTAAATATTTATACAAAAAAGTATTACCTGATTTTATAATTCATAAAATAAATTGTTAGTTGATTGAAATAAATATAATATTTGAAGGTTTTGGTATGATAACACTTAAATCTCAGTACTATTATTTTAAATACTTGTTTATTTATAAATATTATTCAAGTAGTATATTAATGTGATTGCTAAATAAATGTTTATGTAGTTATGTAGTTATATACAATTTACGAGAACATTGTAGACCCTATAACCTGTTGGTACGCATAAAATGTTCATTAATAATATACTTATAGGACTACCTATTAATAATAATTTTTCTATTTTGATTTCGTAAATAAATCAGTTTTACACTTATATTCTTTGCACTTGATGCTGAAAATGCAACATCGTAAATCGTGGTATCAGCGATAGGTAGGGTTTGATTTGGACATAAGTCGTTCTCGTTATAAATATGATGAGCATCACCTATATTTATTATATGTTTTGAGTGTTGACAATAATAGAGGACGATTGAATCAATTACATTAATGATTAATATGTAAATATGTTTCTTACTTTCTTGGATGAAACAAACATATAATAATTTTTTATAATTTTTTTTCCGTTATAATATTCGTGTCTTGAGATTTATAAGTCTGTGAGGATAAACATGCTATCAGATTATAATGTATACGTCATAATCATGATAAAAGACGAGTGTTCCGATTAAAACAAAAAATTAAAATTAAATTAAATTAAAAAAATAGGAATAAACGTACCAATTTTTTTGTCGATGACAAAATATTTACATTTTTTACGACCTAACCTACGACCTCTGCACTTCTGGTTCTAGACTGCTTAATTCTATAACATTATTAAGAGTATTTAATACACAAGTAACATGTTAATAATTTTAGTTAATTAATCAAGTTAAAAAATAATATACTTTTTATTATTAAATATATTCCATTTAAATAACAGTAATGTAAAATGATTAAATAATCTGTTATTTGAATAATTACCTTGATAATAGACGTATGGACGTTTAGCTGATAGTATTTATCATATATAACTATAGTCTATAAGACTATAAATCTATAATATATACAATATATAACAAACAAACAAAGTAAATATTATCAATATGTATATTTTGTTTTTGTATCACAAAAAAATAAAAATGAAATTTAAAATACATTTATATATTATGGATTTTTATCTGAATAAGATATGTCCAACTATCCGAGTAAGCAAAAATAAAAATTAAATACATAATCATTTATATAAAAAAAGAATGAATAAAAAAATAGTTATCGACTGAAAGTATATGTTAATATAGTTTATTGTAGTATGGCTTACATAAAATAATTTCAACTTTTAATAAATTCAACAGAAAATATAAAATATATAATATATTTTAAGAGGCACAACAAATAAACTAATAAAATCGTTAGATACACTTAATAACTATATACATGACACATATTATGTCTATAGTTTATACAGTTAATATAATGAGTTCCTTTCTATTTAGGTTTCAAATTACATATCTTAAATTTTGAGCAGGGTGAAACGATCGTGGTGAAAATGTGTTGAGTTCTCAGTCCTTGAATACAATGAATTAATGAAGGCCTTACCCGGGTTTTCCCCTAATAGGTAACACATATAAAATCTAAAAATTATACACATTTATTATATGTACTAGATGGAAGGGTAGGAGGGCCGTATTCTTCATAAATTTCTTTAATATTATAAAAGAATTTGATAATAATTTTAATTATTATTAGTGACACTTATATTGTTACCTACAATAGTTGAACGTTAGCCTACAGGCCACGGGCCCGCATAATGTGTTAATTCTGTCTTACAAACGCACAACAAATCAAATTTTACGATAAGAATAATCCATGTTATGTATAATATTATAATATTGTGTATTATTTAAAATCAATTATATTGGCGTAAATTTATTTTTTATCGAATYTAAGCATTTGTCTAATATCTATCTTGTAAATTTAAAATTTTCCGACATAATATGTATTATATATATATATTTATATATATATATTATATGGGCTATAGATAATATACACTTTAAATATGATGACATAATATAATAGATCATTATTCATTTTACTTTAATTTTAAAATAATAACAGAGTAAAAAAGATTACTCTGAACCAAAAATTTGAGTTACCGATTTTTACAATAATTTTATTTTAGGGTATCTACTATCTAGTTACTAAAAATTGTACGTCTGCACTATATAGTAGGTATAGGTAGGTTTATTGATGGCTAAGACTATAGCTGAAAATATAAGCCATTTTTCGTGATTAAATAACTATACTATTAGCTAATTTATACTGATTTTGATGAGTGGTGAAAGGAAATTCGCAATATTATTCCAGCTTGGGCCGTCCGTTGATATATATTCCCACTATCCTATATTATGCTCGTCTCCGTAGATTGAATTATGATGTATTCATTCCTGCTGCTGTAAATCATTTAATTGTATTATATAAAATATTGTAAACGAGGTATTCCAATTATATATATGTTAAATTAGGATACTGTTCTTTGACACAATAAACTACGAACCATTCGGGTTGTGGATTAAAATGTACACAAAATATTTAAAATCTATATAAAAAAAAAA